TTTTTTGTAGAATTTTTGAGAAAGACGGTAAGAGACTGATTGGACGATATGAGGAGGGTAGCTCTGGAGGTCGGGACTATATCCTATGCAAAATTTTGTTTTTTACCCATTTCAATGAATTATAATCAAAATTATTCAAAATCCTTTCTTATTACACGCTTAGAACATAATACAAACATACTTTGTAAATTTCAAGTCACTAGCTATCATTATATTTCACAATTTTACTAATTTAAGTTTTAAACAATATGACATGTATACCATATTATAAGAGTACAATAAGTACATGATATGTGAACGATGAGCATGACGTCACTTGTAGACAGACAATACATCCGTATCAGAGATATATTTTATTATTTAAATATTTTATAATCAGCAATCAGAAATGCGTGTTACAAAAATGGTTGTACGATATTATAATTTCCTCTTATCGTTGTATAGTTACATTTATTATACTGTCCAAATCATAATCTATCTATTTGAATCATTAAAAAATTTGTGACCTAAGGTGGCTGACTATTTTGATATGATTTTGGGCCGGCCCTTATCATAGACTCTATTACCGATATAACTCATGTGTTGTATTCGTGTTTTTTCGTTCAAAGTTACATTATAATTGATTTTATTGACCCTCGCAAACTGGTATACTTGCAAATAGTATAGTAATATGAGTACCTATATAGCTCGGTAATGATTTAGTCTTTTGCTGTTCATACTTAATAGTTAATACTTCCACGCGTCGTATAATTTGATGACGACATTTACAATAATAGTTTATTAGGTATTGATTACATAATAAACATATATTATTTATAAATATTTAGTATAATAATAGTGATTACGATTTATGTTCTGATGTGACCTACCTGATTTAGTTTCAGTGAGCATTACTTATAATGCAAGACAATTTTAATTACTTAAATTTTATTCTTGTGTTTAGACATACAATCATTATCTTCTCGAAATAATTAATATTTAAATGCCAAATAATAATTCTATGTCGATGATTTCGGTTAATGTGTATGCATAAATAATAATGATAATTAAACTTTGAATAGAGCTTTTGTGGGACATGATGGTTCCTTTGTAATTCAACGACCTAAAAACTAATGTAATTTAAATACACTTTAAAATATTATTTGTACTCTTATATTATTTGAATCAAACTGAGGATCGGGAATTGAGAAAAAAACTGGTTGAGTGGGAAAATAAATAAGGATTGAAAAATATGATTTTCATTTTTAGGTTTTCTGTTTTAAATAATTAATATTATATTTTATAGTTAATTTTACAAATATTTCTTTTGGGTCGAGCATGGATATTTTTATCTTACAAGCATTATACAATGTAACCTTAACCAGAATAGTTAAAGAATTTTAATAATATCAATATTGTTATAATTAATTGTACTTACTTAAATATTATACATATACATGTAAACAGAAATGCGGTGGTTAAGATATTGTGTGGAATATAATTTGGAAAATTAATAACATACAATATTATGTTGTAACTTATAATATGCTTCTGCATTAATATTATATTATTAATAATTATACTATTATTTACATTTTATTAAGAATCTTGTTTTTGATGTTTAGGTATGCCTAGCGGTCTCAAAATAAACGTTTGTAAAAGGACAAAAAATGGGATTTACAAAGGTCAGCTAGTCAAGGTTGAATCAGAGTTAAATGGAGGTAAATTTGAATTTGTTTGAATAATTATAATATGATAGAATTTGCTTTTGAGTTCATAAATTAATGTTCTTCTTTAGATAAATACATACTATTATTATTATGATACAAAGATCGAAGTATGCACGCGATCTATACATTTTTAAATATCCTATCAACGAGATTGGAAAAATGAATATTTATTTGTGCAGTTTTAAATAAAATTTGACCATTCACAATTATTTTAGGAACGAAGAACTCTAGACCCTTTATTTTGCGCCTCAATGGCGAACTCTACACAGGATGCCTCCAACAACAAAGCAATGTTGTTAATCACGACGACCATCATTCTAATTAAAATAGTAGACGTTGACAAGCACAACGATTGATTTTTCATGTAAATATAATATTAAATAATAGTTTAGAAGACAGTTAATAAGCAACACAAATAAAATGTATATATTATACCTTTTCGTCTAATATACATTAAGTAAAACAATTAAATAATAATATACATAGTTGAATACGATAATAGTTTGAATTAATTTTAATTTAAGATTATACTATATTATAATATGTCTGTCTGTTTTAAAACTACTTTTTCATGGAAAATAAGTGATTTGCTAATACAATTATATTGTAGAATAGTTTAAAAAATAAATATTCATCATTATACTTAGGGACTACGCAAACGTGTATATATATTATATTATATACTACCCATTATACTGCGAGTAGGAGACTTAATTTTTTTTACGTTATTTTTTAAAATATATTTGTATTATTATTATTATTTTTATTATTATTATTATTGTAAATATAGTGTGTAAATTGTGAGTACTTCAAATTAATTTTAAGGCTGTGCATTCATTAGATCTCATCCTAATGGGAAAACCAATAACATAACACGTCTTGTAAAATACACGTACATTTTTGGATTTGAATATTAATCAGTATTAGCATCGATGTATAATGATTGAATAAATTACAGTTTTTTTTTTTGTATTATGATTATAAAGAAAAGTTGTTGTGTCTTATTATTATTTATTTACCTAATTAAAATAAAATTCCTTTTCGTTGTTTCCGGTAATAGAACCGAATATATTAATTCAGACTACCTTTTAAAAAAAAAAATTAGGTATTTGTCTTAATGTTCTAAACCAATAATGAATACAAAATACTTCAATCAATATGTGTTGTATTAATTATTGTGTATCTTACGGGAGAAAATAATATTCGAACTTTACTACGAATCAACGACGAAAAACCGTGTGAAAAATTATGAGTAAGTCCATTATCTATAAGTGTTTAATTATTATTAACGATCTCGTTTGGTAATGAGTATGATGACAACTCATATACCTAGGTAATTTAATCTGATATATTGGAAATTAAAATATTATTTACTTATTCTACTATAATATTCTATAATAATAGCTTCTGATCAAAGTAGTAGTAAAATGAATACATTTACATGAAAATACAATGTATAGTTATAAGAAATCAATAACTATATTATAATCGTTATGTAGGTACCTTACGAAGTAATAAATATACGTTTTTATTAAATTGAATATTAATGTGATTAAAAACAAATTCTTTATTAGAAAGTGTGTTGATTTAAATCCATATAATTATATTACACACTAATAATTAATAATTATTATACATTTTAAATGTGACTTCACCAGTAGTTATACTTAATTAATATTAAGTCATTATAATATTTAAAAACATAAAATATGTTCTCTTGTTTTTCATTAATTATTTTATAAAATATTATAATATTATTTTATTACAAATATGAAATAATCACGATGGTTAATATGAACTATGAAGTCATAATATGTCTGTGCCTATAATGTATATCCGTCTTGAATTGCAATTTCACATTCGGGACACCCTACCAATATAGTAGGTGCTATTCGTGTGTGCTACAGCCATGGAATATCGGTTGCAAATCACTCGACCAAAGTGGATTGATAGACTATATATAGTTAAAATTATTTCTCACATTTCGTCATAATATATACATTTTTTTTTAAATTTTTTATTTATAAAGAATATTTACAATCTGTGTTATATTATTTTAGCAAGTCTGCAATATTTTCTCTTGAGTCGATGAGTGGGATTTACTGGTTGAGTAATGGATGAGATTTGCGATATTAGTGGGTTGGTATGGGAAGGTAGTTTGAAATTAATATAATTTGACATTGAGGGACCGGCTCAGACGATTATTAGTGATAAAATGTTATTCATATTTCGGACAGGGTGTGTGCCATTTCTAATATTAACTTACCAATAGCCAAAACTATTATTTCATTTGCATCAGATGTTACATATAAGTGGCGTGTAATATATAGGATCCAAGTGTTGCTCAGGCTGCAACACCTTAAATATGGGTTGGTGGGTATTGATAGAAGGAGAATAAGACATTTTATAGGTTGGTGTAACAATATTATGAGTGATATAGGCCCCCTAAAATTATTTGAACAACACAATTTTTTTTTATGATACATGCCAATGTGTTATATAATTACCCATCCAAACACTTTTACAGTTCTATTGTACCTACTATTACTTTATAACTATGTCTGAAATAATTATAATAACAATGTCAAGTAAATTATACATTTATTTTGTACGTATTAAAACAAATAGGTTGGTGTGCAACAGTTGTCCGTGCTCCGTCCCATAAAATAGTATATTAAATAATTATTAAAAGAAGGGATTGTACTGAAATTGGGGAGTCGCCATTGTCTTTATCCAAGTCTTACGACACAAATATTTAAAAACTACCCAATTTATTAACCTATATGCTGGGCCAATGGGCCCCTCTACCACCCTTAAATCCACCTGCTATACCTACAGACTATATTATATCCTTCTAGATTATTTCCGCAATAAAGCATCCGAATTGCATGTAACAAATATGGAGATAATTCCGGTAGATTATACACTGCAATCATCCCCATTTTTTGCCACACAAAATTTGGAAGTCCTGTATTTATACGTTGTACACTAGATTTTTACAATTTCTTTTAACATGACCTGGAAATCAATCAAAATAATTCATAGCCCGTGAGTTTACTGATGTACGTAATTGTTCCTAATTCTTTAGTTAAATCTTGGTGTTATTAATTGAAAGAAAGCCGTTTACAGTCTGTACATAAAGAAATACAATAAGTACCTATGTAATAATTATTATAGTATTGCGTTTTACATGGTTGATGAAGGTAAGACACATTAACAGCACTTTGCGAGCTAATAGTAGCATTTTTATTTAGGATATTATGTTACATAAATATTACATTTTCGACACTTCGATTATTTGATAAGTCATTTAAGGAGTATTTACAGAAGTATTGGCACAATAATTTTTTATTTAATATGTTAAACGAAATGCAAACGAGAAGTTTTTGAGTAATTTAACTTAATGAACTAAGAATATAATAATATTATTATCCTAAGGGAATAGGGATTACCATAATTTCCTGCAGATGCTACAAAATATAAAGGTATATTGACGGCCAAGTGTGTACCTATTGGTTAAGCTATAACATACTATTCACTCATATTGTTTTTTGAATACGATAATTATTTTAGAGTCTATTCACATTTAATATAATCACAACACTATAATATTTGGGACTAAGTGAACAAAGCGAGACGATCGACGAGTCGTGTCGAAGGTATATATATAGTACCTATAATATATAATACCGTTGCATAAAATATGTCGTCCACATTTTATAAATATAACTTTCGAGCTACTCATGTGTACAAATATGTGTTCCATATTATTATAATTTGTAGTTTGTTATTAAATAGAATTTATCATACCTACGTCAAATAGGCTATACTCAATTTCATAAAGAACATATTTTTATTTAATCATCTAAAAAAATAGTCTCAATATTATAAAAACAAACAAAAATGATGAATTTGTTGGTATGTATTCATTCAAAATTTTACAAAGTAAATTATAATTTTCAATGTATTTTTAGCCACAAATCAGTACTATATTAGAGCTGATTTACAAATCGTTTGCACTTGTTAAATAAGAATGTCTTCGTATTTGTTACACATTTTAAACCTAAATACAATTAATATACACAACTGCGTCATACCTTTTTATTCTGATATTATTTGTTGTTTGGACAATCTTCAAACTTTACCTAAACTTGTTATATAATATGTATTGTATTTGTATAGATACAATTTTAATATATTAATAAGAAATAATAATAATCAACTGCAGTCCGCAGCATACCTGCTACACGTATAATAGTATACAATATGTCTATAAATACACATAAAAATATGTTTTCAAAACTGTTAAAGCGTATTTAATGATATTTGTTAGTATTTCACACTAAATGATAACATATTTTTATTTCCTTACTATATAGTTACAAAAATTACATAATTTTAGCAGTTAATACTGAATATATAATAAATATATAGGTACGATGTACCTATATTAAGTAAACAAAAATATTTTCACTCTAGGTACTCATATATATATAGCATATACCAGATCGGTACCCACTACAAAATTACCTAGTTGTTATATTATATATTGGTATACAATTCCGAATTATATTGTTTGTTTAGCTTAGCGTATACCTATATATAATACTGCATTATATATTACATATAGGTAATCTTACAACGCATTCCTAAGAGGCGTTACCGTTAAATTAATATAAAATATAATATGTGATTAATATTTTTACAGTTAAAATCACATGTATACTGCACTGAGGAGGAATCGGAGATTAGGATACCTTTATGCTCAAGGTGTCAGAAAAATATAGACGTAAGACTATACAGTACCTAAATCATATTTTTATATGTATAATATTAATAGATTATTTAGGATAAACTATGAAGACATTTTCGATAATTTCATAATAATAATATAATATATAAAAACGATTCAGTGGGAAGGTGTATTATTTTAGAGGGGGAAAAAATTAGGGATAGGTACTTCCTTTCTCCATAACACCATAGAAAATTGCTCTGTACTGTGTATAATGTACCTATATATAAATGCGACTATATAGTATATACTATTATATACCTATACTTAATATTGTTGACATTATATTATATACATTGATTCGAGGTTGTTGATCATGTGTTGCGGTGGCTAAGGTGGCGGATCCAGGGGGAGGCAAAGCGGGCATTTCCCCCCCCCAATCACCGTAGTTTTCCTTTGTTTTACACTGTGTTTAGCCAATTTAGGAACTTTTTGTACTTTTTCCCCCCTCCCATGTCCCTCCCCAAATTAAGCCCTGGATCCGTCACTGGGTAGCTATATAAGATAGAAACTATCTGCAGGAGCAATGTCGC